CTTGGATTGTAATGACATTTCCTCACATTTCAGTTTTAGTTGTTTCACTTTATATACTAATGACAGATTAGTTACTTATTATACACCAATCAATCCTAATGGCTCAGAAATACTAGCTTAAACTCTGGCTCAATCACATCTATAGGGAGCCTAGTCATTTGGATGACAAGAAATGAAATAGATCTGCTTTGGCTTGGTGGAAAATATATAAACTATAGGCAAATAAAACTGAGTCTTTTAAGTAAAGTCTCAGAAGGCCCCTGACAAAGTAAAGGCCGACGTCAGAGAGTACCATATATGTCGGCCACTGGGCAGTGCCTAGAGTCCCCGACCTATGTAAAAGTCAGTGACACTCTTGGCAGAGGAGGTCACAAAGTCCACACTGAGGGGAAGGCGTTAGCTACATACTGTAATAATTTCCACACTTCAGGATTGCCTGGGGAACTTTAAAATGATAGACTGCTGACTATCCCCAGTGAAATACAATCTTTGGGGGTGACGTGAGTCTCATAAGAAGCCCCCTAGAGAACCACTAGTATGTATGATGCTGTCCCAGAAGTAACCAGGACTGTGAGATTTATAAAGAAGGCCTCTTGGGGGAAGGGGCTGAACCTATTCCTTCCATGTACAACGAGGAAGCAACCCACTGAAAACCTAAGGAATAGAAACTCTTCTGCAAACTTAGAGAATCTAATGTTATGGGGGAATGCTAAAAGTAAGAATGATAATGGAAATATTAAAAATATTTAGAATTATTTTTAAGGAATAGCTATAGAAAGAGGCTCTTACCAAAGAAACTATTTAATTTAAGATTAGAGGGGCCATGGGGAACCAGCAGGTGGCACAGTGGTTAAGGCACTGGACACTCCCCAATGGCTAACCATGGTTTAAGTCTTGGACCTGGTGGCTTGCTTTCTCACTTTCTCTTTCTCTCTCTGGTCAAGTTAAAATAAATGAATGAATAAATAAAATTAAATAATTCTAAATATATATACGTATATATAAAAATATATTAGAGGGGCCAGCTGGTGGCAGTGGTTAAGGCAGCTGGATAGCCACATGGCTGAGTTCCCGACATGATGACTTAAAAAACGTGTCAGTGCATGTGCACGTGTGCCCAAAATCCCCAAAGGAGGGAGAACTAGAGAAAGAAGTGAGGTGTGAATATCCCCCTTGGAGGGTGCTTTCTCTCCCTCCCTGCCACAGGTGACTATACATGCTCTCTGGCAAGTTAAAACAAAAAGATTACAGAATAAATTACATTGGTAATTAATATTAATTAGGTTACTAAAACTACATGATCTTTTTTTGTTTTTAAAGGTTTTTTATCATAAGGTGCATGCGCTTTCTCTCTGGCAAGAGAGAGACAGTGAGAGGGAAAATGAGAAATCACTTCTCAGGGAGGATGGCCATATTGCAATCTGCTCTCCTCCTTTGTCTTCCTGGGATTTTGGGCACATACACACATGCCCAGTGTGATTTTCAAGCCTCCAGGTTCAGGACTCAAACTGCAGTCAGCCATGTGGGGGTCCAGTACCTTAACTACCATGCCACCTGCTGAGCCCAGTATGAAAATACTTTTAAAGTACATCAAAAGCCCTTAACTTTGGGGAACCAGCAGTTAGCGTAATGGCTATATCGCTGGATTCCCATGTAGTCAATCGCGGATTGCGTCCCGGACCCGGTGGCTTAAAACTCATGCCGGGTGTGTGTGCGTGCGTGCCCAAGATCCCGAGAAGAGAATGGAGGAGAAGGGACTGCGGCATGACCATCCCCCCTGGGGGGGTGATTTCTCGCTTTCTTTCTCTATGTCTCTCTCTGGCGAGCGCACATGCCCTTTAGTTAAAAAAAAAAAAAAAAAAAAAAAAAACTCTCAAAACAAAGCCCTTAACTTTGAATCTATTTGTCCTTAATTCTCAAATAACTTCCCCTAACTTTCCCATAATAAAGTTCTAAGGGCAGGGAATATATTTGCTTTATATTCCCACAGTACTTACTAGACACCACAGCTATTTGGTAATTAACAATTCACAGAACATGTTTCTTGACTTGAAAGTTCAACTTGAGTAAGAAGATACAGGTGCAGAAAGTCATAAAGTAAACATGCTTGATACTGATCTTGATATGATCCAGAAGCCTAGAACATGCCTGTTCTGCTGGGAACTTCAAGAGCCAGACAAAAATATCACTTCCTCTCTGAGGTCACTCTTGATTATCCATATCAGAATTTTTTTTTTTATTCTTTGGTTACATCTCCATTGTAGCCAAGATCTTTAGAGTTGTCATATATCCTCCTAATATATTCTGAACTCCTTGAAGGCAAAACCTGCTTCTTGGTCTTCACTGTTTCCCTGTCACCTTATACAGTGTTCTATGTGTGCTAGGAACTTGGTCCTGTCTGCTGAATGAATGGATGGATGGATGAGTGAGTGACTGCCACATGACATCCTGCTCTTTAGAATGTGCATCCCAAATGTCAGGATCCGTTCATGAATTACTTTGCTTACCCATTTCTTCCTTTCCTAGTGCTGATTATTGCAAAAAACCATAATTTGGAGAAAATACTTATCAAGCCATAAGTTCTATACCAGCTATTCAACATTAATAAAGAGGGAGGTAAATGAAAACAGACAAGAGAAAGAAACTTTACCTTCTTGGAACAGTTGTCTGGCATAAGATGGCTCTCTGCCCTGAGGTTGGAAGAAAGCATAAATGCACTTCCTCACTAAATCTTCCCAGCCAGTTCTGCCAGCAGCTCTCAGGGAACTAGTATCAATAGAGATGATTTTACCTACACAGAGATTTAAAGTTTACATTTAGGAGACTATCATATTTCATGACTAACAGCTGCATTGAAGGAATATTCTCTCCCTCTTAAATTCCCAATAGACAAAAGCTGTGAACATCTTTGACATGTTCCATGGTGCATGTGTAAGAATTTCTCTAGGGTATACATGAAGGAATAGAATTGCTGGATTGTGGGTTATGCAAATGTCAACTTTACAATATCAACTTAAATTGATTTCCAGAAACTTGTACCACCCTACAATCCCATCAGAAATGCGTAAGAGTCATTTTCTAAAACCTTTCTGTCACTTGTCAGGCTTCTTCACTATTTCAAATTAATAGGTGAAAAATGGTATCTCGGTATCATCTAAATCTGTATTTCCCCAACCATTAATGAGACTATTTTTCAAGGTTACTCACCATTAATGTTTCCTCTTTAGTGTATGCCTGTTGTGTCTTCTCCTATCTTCCCTCTTCTCATACGGTTAACTCAAATCTATCCCACTGTTTGTGCTTTCTCCTTTAACTAATCCTGTCTTTACATATTTCATTTGGCTCCCCAGAAATAAAATACTCATTAGAACTCTGTTAGTGTCTAGAATATGATGTACCCAGTGCTACTCGATCGAGGGATTAACCCAAGTCCTGGCAGTAGAATTAAAATAAACTGAAACCCAGGTGAGAGAATTTACATATCTATATCTGCCAAGTACCTTTAAACATTTTATTCCATGATTATGGCAAATAATTTATAAGCAAGAATATATAGGTTTGTGAATAACTATTTTTTAAAAGTTCTCACCAGCACTCTCGCCCATAATGATGGGTAAGCATCTCAAGTGCACAATCTCAAAACCACCATTTAAAATGTGTTCTGTGGAATTCTAGGGAGCAGAGGCTGAATATCAGAAGGACATCACATTTTGGATATAATTAGTTTTAAGAACACAGTCACATTATTAATTCCTCTGGAACACTCTCGACTTTACAGTTAGTACCTGTAGTATCTTGCTTGGTCATAAAGGATTCTACACCCGTAATAGCTGGGGGCCGAGGTAATCGCCGTGCAATACAGATTAAACATGACTGGAAATCTGCCCAAAACAAAATGAGAAATTGAAGAAAAGAGGGGTAGAAGATGGTTTAAAACGATCACTTGTCATTAACGGTTTTTATTAAAAAAAGATACATGTAATAATAAAAATAATACATAAAAATATCTTATAAATAAATAGTATAATGTTAGCAACTTTTTGACCTAGTCGTATATTAAAGGTCAAGTAGAGGTGGTTAGCCTAGGTTGTTCCTTCCCGCTTGACGCTCTTGCGTAAGCGGGAGGAGACTGGTGCAGCTCACGTACTTGGACGACAACTGGAAAGGGTTTTGGTTTGATTCTAACAACACTATTTTTAAAAATACACATTTATAGGAAATTTCCTATACTCATCAATACTTAATGAATACAAAGATTATTCTTGCAAACCCTGTGCAGATAGAAGCATTATTCTGTTCATGACAAAAGACTTTATGTTTTTGGGGATACATAGTGTTTTTCCATTCCCAAATTTGTCTTTGAAGGTGTTGTATATAATAGCACACAACTAAAAATGAACAATTTTTTAAGAATTATTTTATTTAATTTATTCATTCATTTTATTTTTTAATTTGACCAGGGAGAGACACAGAGAGAGAGTGAAAGAGAGCAAGGGAAAATGAGAAAGCAAGCTGCCAGGTCCAGGACTCGAACCGTGGTCAGCCATGTGGGAGTGTCCAGTGTCTTAACCACCATGCCACCTGCTGGTCCCACTAAAAATGAACTTTAACCATATAAGACGTGCCATGTGTATTCTTTAAAAAGCATCCAGTTGATTGTGACCTCTATTTCCTAATGAGACCTGCAAAATACACAGCCCTGTCTGCATCTGACTGACGTCTTACCTACCGTCTTTCCAGGTCTTTACTCCAGTTCCCAGTGGTGGTGCTACTAGCTTGGCGGTGTTTCTAGCTTTACAAGGAAACTGACCCACTGTCACATACTTAACTACTTCCACGTTCATATGAGAGCTTCAGCTATATGTTCATCTGTTCCATTCTCCTAATATTGGGTCATCAGGAAAGTCATGATGCAATTTTGGACAGAAAAACATGTCATGACTTTCCCAACAATCTACTAAGAGCTTTTCGACAGCCCGCTGTATCTGGTTCATTTCTACTCAGCAGCAGTTAGTTGCAGCTCTTATTTCTAGTCAGTTGATTTGAACTGCTTGACATTTTAGTAAGAATGCCAGCTTACACCTAAGACTGTGAGGCATGTTAAAGGAAGTGATTCTAGATTTTAGCAAAAAAAATTTTTTAAGTATTAAGAAACATAGTAAATTGAATAGCTATCATGATATATAGTAACCAAAAATACAATCTGAAGGAGGCAGTTAATAGTCAATTACCTGTGTGTTTCTTAAAGTCACAGAAAAAAACACTTTAAAATGATCCTTTGCTTTACCTTCCCCATCCTCCTGAATCGATTTTGGCTGCGACACCGTGAAACACTGCATTACTTCATACCGCTGGCAAGCTTCCTGACTCTCGGTACCTGGCTCGTCTGGAGGGTGAATGAGCATCCTGCAGTTAAAGGTATGGCTATTTCGTCGTGTTGCCTCTTGAGGCCAAGGAACTCCATTTACTAGGGAAGAAAAATTGATTATGTTCCTGTGAATAAGGTGAAAAAGTACAAACTCTGAAGATACAAGAGACTTCCTTTAAGCCATCTACTTAATTAGATACCCCGATTCAAAGACAGGCAGGCTTCTTCAGGCCTAGCATTATCCTGAATAGAACACAGGAATTCCTCACTGACCCACCTGGTAAAGGATCTGTTAAACGCCTTACCACCAGTTCTGCAGTACTGGGAATCCCCTTTCTCAGTCTCCGTCTTGTCCCCGCAGTTGGTTAGTATTCACTACACGAAGCATTCTCAATCACACAAGCCTACATATTTCGTTTATAGATTTACACTTCATTGTGCACCCATAGTAATATTCAGAATAAATAAAAACAGCCACATCAGATTTGCATTGTCTTGTGGTGTGTCTTGTGCTTTCTTGCACTTATCTAATGTATGCTTTTTGCATAGCTAGAATTACATTTTCCAGTGTTGTGCAATATCTACTGAAAAAATATACACCTGATGGTGCTACCACACACAAGACATCTGCCTTCAAGCTCCTCATTTATCAACCGATCTGTTCAATGACTTAGTAGGAGAAACGGAAGTTGGTCTTTAAGTGAGCTAAGTGAGGAGTGCCGGTATTTATTGGGTTGTTGAAAAAGTCATGACACATTTTGCATGGAAACAGAAAAACACATCGTAACTTTTCTGACAATCTAATATTTTACTTATGAAATCTAAATATCTACCAATTGAAAACTGTCACATTTCCAAGAAAACATGCAAGCTCTCTCCCTTCAAATATCCTCTTTTAGAGGTCCCCCAACCATTGGGCCACAGACCGGTGCCAGTCTGCAGCCTGTTGGAGGCCAGGTGGTGGACCGATCCCTGTCTGGCAAGTTTCCCCTTCTGCTGCACAGTGGGGTTGGGGGTGGCGGGTGAGCCAGCAGGGCTTCATCTGTGCTTGCCGCAGCTCCCATCTCCCTATCACTGTACTGCCACCTGGGCTCCCCCTCCCGTGGGATTAGCAGTGGTAGCGGAGTCTCATGGGAATGGGAGTCTTATTGCTGTGTGACTGTTTCGTCGTATACTGCAATGTGGTAGCGGTGGAAATGGGGGACACAGAGGGATGATCTTCCAGGAGGTCAGTCTCTGGTGCCGGGAAGGGTGGGAACTGCTCCCCTAATTCATTAACAGTTAAAGACAAAAATGAAAATTTACTAGTTGTTTTTCTCAGAATTTTATAGCAGTTCATTAATGAGCTGTTTCATTTGTTTCCAGTTATACTTTGGCAATGTAACTTGTTTCAAAACCACAGCTACATTGTTGAGCAGAGATCTGAACCAGGCTGTCATGGACTCTTTTAAGGACAAGCTTTATGTGCATGCATACCTTCTTGGGGTAGAAGATCAAAAGTTCTCACAGTCTGTGACTCAAAAAATATTTTATTTAGAATTAGGTAGAGAGCAATCTCAGTTTCTTTCTTTCTCTCTTTTTAGAGATTTTTGCTATAGGACACATGGGATAATCAGAGAGACAGAAAGCAAGAAACCACCTCCTGGGGGATGATCATGACACAATTTTTCTCCTCCATTCTCCTCTCGGGATTTTGGGCATGCACAACACACACCCGGTATGAGTTTTAAGCCTCTGGGGGTCCAGGACTTGAACTGCAGTTAACTATGTGGGAGTCCAGCAACATAACCATTATGCCATCTGCTGATCCCTCCTAGTTTCTCGTAACCAGTTTTTTTGTGTTTAGTTTTATTTTGTTTAACATAGTTCATCTGCCACAATATCTTGGATATGGTGGATAATCAACATTATTATATAAAAAAGATTAAGGGCTGGCAGGTGGCGTGGTGGTTAAGGGTGCTGGACTCCCACATGGCCAACTGTGGTTCAAGTCCCAGACCTGGAGGCTTGCTTTCTCACTTTTCCTCTCTCTCTCCCTCACTCTGTTCCTCTCTGGTCAAATAAATAAATAAATAAACAGTTAAATAATTCTTTTAAAAATTGCTAAAAAATGTACCTAACTCAGTATAAGAAAACTGAATTATAGAAAAGATGTCTATTTCTTTAAAAAAAATTTTTTTTAAGGTTATTCTAGTTTTTTTTGTGAGAGTGTACATGTGAGAAAGAGAGATACCCTCAATAGTCTCATCACTCCGCACTTCCCCTCCCCTGACCCTCTTGGGGGCACATGTGCCTGGTGTGTTTCAGGTTGTATGGGGACTCAAATTCATGATCGGCCACGTGGCTTCTTGTACTGCAGATCGGTATGCTAACACCTGTGCGGGCCAAATGTCTACATATCTCAAGAATCGCTTTGTGGCAGGTCATGACTTCCCTGTCACAGTGGCATATTCAAACCATGGTGGTCATGAGTGGTCACAGGGTTGGGAAGGCTGCTCCCTCACCATTCTCAAATGCCTTTATACTCTCCACCAAACCTTTTTTCTATCTTAACACTCTTTATCTGTTAGAGGAAATCATGGAGACAAATCTTTATTGCAGTAAGGAGTCTTGGGTTCTTGCTATGGGCCAGCTGTAAGATTTGGGTTAATTAATCTTTGATTATTAGTTGCCTCATTTTTAAAACAAAAGAATCCAGTATACGATCTCCAAAGTCATTTACACTCTAAGTAAATCACACTCTAAAATAAAATGTATAAGATTATTTGATACTATAATTTGAACAACAAATAAGTGATTTTAATAGAAACAATCATTTTGCCCCCAGTTACCATAAACACATACTCTTCTTCTCAAAGAAGAAATATGGTTTCTAGCCTGTTGAGGTAACAGGGCAGGAAATAAAGAGCTATGGGTAACATTTTACTGCATGTCTGGTTTAGCAATATTGGATTTCTGGTCATTGCCCACCCCCCCTTCTGGAGCATATACAGGCTAAAGAGCAGAAGAAAAGGGAGTAAGGGAAGAAAAATTAATATAAAAAAATAACATATCCATTCATATTTTTAGAGTTCACTCATGTACTGAATAAACTAATTAAGCTGTCTGATTCTTAGGAAAAAACTGCCGACTAGTGGAGACAGACCCTACGACAGAAAATGGTTTTGTTTGCCCAGACCCAGTAGCACATGCCGGTACCTGGCTACCTGGCGGGCTGAAGCCACATGGGAAGCCTGGGACTCATTCCCAGCCTGCCTGAAAAGTCAAGCACAGTAGTGTGCGCTATAGCCCAGCTACTTAGGAGTCTGAGGATCCTGACATGCTGAGGGGACCATGACTTTAAAAATAAAAATGGTTTTGGGGCCAGCAGTTGGCATAGTGGTTAAGGGTGCTGGACTCCCACATGGCCGACCACGGTTCAAGTCCTGGATCTGGCGGCTTGCTTTCTCACTTTCTCTCTCTCTCTCTTGCTCTGTTCCTCTCCGGACGAATTAAATACATACATACATACATACATACATACATAAAGTTAAATAAAAAAGAATTCTTTAAAAAAAAGAGAGAAATCTTTCTAAAAAAAATAAAAAAATTTTAAAAAAAAGGTTTTCAGTTTTTCTTTGTAGCTTGATTTCAATAATGTTTACCTCACTGGACTTGGTTATGAGGGGCAGTTTCAACTTTCTGATTTGCAAAGAAAGCTACTTCCAAGTGTTGCTAGAGGAAATTCAGCTAAGTATCTAATTACATTCAGTTCAGGGGAAAGGAAAGAGGGTAGAGGAAAGGAGAAAGGGCTGAGGGTCTTTGGGAGTCACCGCAGACGAAAGGGGTCAAAGCAGAGAGGAGAGCAGAGAGGAAAGTTACTCCCTTGAAAAGGGGTCATTAAATCTAAATTTAGGTGTAAGAACTTTTTTGAGAGGTCTTCCACTTCTAACCTCACCCAAAAAAGTTGAGAACTGATCACCACAACTAGAACAACTGAAGTAATTTGGATGACAATTTACATTTCAACTATCACATCTTCTTAAAGTGACAATGATAATAAACAGCAAGATCACTTCCAAATATATACTCTTCTCCAATAATTATGCCAGTAAATGTTTTGGGTAACCTTTCTAGATCCCTGAATGTCATAAGAGCAATTACATTTCCCTTAACTTATTCAAATTAATTTACCATGACAGAGTTTATAACTTTTTCAAAACTAAATCTTTTCCATTCTTTTTTAATTAATTGCCAAACGACATGTACGAACAGCAGAGAGAGAGAGAGAAAGACAGAAAGCAAGCCTGAACAGGCAGTTTAACCAGCAATCTTTTTTCCTCCATTTCTCCTTCCTGACTGAATTTTAGGCATGCGTGCACATGTGCCTGGTGTGTTTTTCAAGCCACTTGGGCCAAGTTTTGAACTGAGGGATCTAGTTCCCAAAACAAAGTGCTAAACTGCTATGCCACAGCTTAGGCCCTAAAGATTCTCTCTTTATTTATCTATTTATTTATTTTTTTGGAGAGGATTTTGCTATAGGGTGTGTGTGCTCGCCAGAAAGACAGAGACAGAGACAGAAAGCAAGAAATCAGCCCCCAGGGAGGATGGCCATGCTGCAATTCCTTCTCCATTCTCCTCTCAGGATCTTGGGCACGCACGCACATGCACCCGGTATGAGTTTAAGCCACAGGGTCCGGGACTCGAATGGCAGTTGGCTACTTGGGAGTTCAGCAACATAGCCATTTTGCTAACTGCTGGTTCCAAGATTCTTTTTTTTTTTTTTTGTAGGAGAGAGTTTTGGTACAGGACACGTGCGCTCACCAGAGAGACAGAGAGAAACAGAGAAAGAGAAAGTGAGAAATCACCCTCCAGGGTGAATGGCCATGCCACAATCCCTTTTCCTCCATTCTCCTCTTGGGATTTTGGGCATGCACGAACACATGCCTGGCATGAATTTCAAGCCACCAGGTTCAGAACTTGAAATGTGTAGCCATGTGGGAGTCTAGTGCCTTAACTACTATGACAGACCCAACAAAAGTTCTTTTTCAAATAGCAGTAAAAAACCAAACAAACAAAAAAACAACTACTGGATGTGATCTATAAAAACATAGCCTCAGTAATTCTATGGAATAGAACTAAGAAGGATATTCTGAAATGACAAGACTGTCCTACCTTGACACCAATTTCTAAGCTAAAACATAATCCAAAACATCTAGTAGCTATGAATAATACATTATTACAGAGCTATCATTCATGAAATTAAAAATTCCCAAGCATTTAAATGTGGCCAATAATAGTAATGATGATAATGGCTAAAACTTCAGGAGAATTTAATACTAGCACCATTTATCCCTTACCTTTCATGAACAATGAGGCCTAGAGAGGTCAAGTGTTTTGTCACAGGTTCCACAACTAGTAATACGGCAGAGCCAGAGTGCATTACTCAGGTCTGCTTTATATTTAAAAAGCCTGTACTCTTAACCACGGTGATGTCTTTATCATTTGAGGTATAAATGCCATTATTTTATGGATAGGACTTTTTTGTCTTTTATTTCTGTTTTTAGACTTCAAGTTCTTTTTTCTTAGAACTTAGCAAACTCTATGTTAAGTCACATCTCATCCTTTGTAATGTCAGCTTTTTACAATATCATCGTTTTAAAGCCATCTGTCCAAGTACGAGTGTATCCATGCGCAGTTGTTCCTTTGGACATCTCTCGCCCACACCTGTTTCCCAGTGTTCAGACTGTATTCTTAAATTTTTTAAATAAATAAAATGTTAGGCTTCAAAAGTATGAATTTAAGATATTGAAATCTGGGGAATCAGCAGTTAGCATAATGGCTATGTCGCTGGACTCCCACGTAGTCGACCACGGTTCATGTCCCAGACTCGGTAGCTTAAAACTCACGCTGGGCGCGTGTGCGTGCGTGCCTAAGATCCTGAGAGGAGAATGGAGGAGAAGGGATTGCGGCGTGACCATCCCCCCTGGGGAGTGATTTCTCGCTTTCTGTCTCGCGCATTTCCTATAGGGAAAACCTCCAAAAAAAAAAAAAAAAAAAAAAAAGATATTGAAATCTGCTAACTCAGTAAATTGGAAAGCAATTTTAAAGTTTGACTTTTAACTTTTTTCTTTAAAATTTCTCTTTAGTAATAACAAAAACAAGAGGCCAATCTTTTGAACAGTACATATAAATGGTTTATATCAAGTAAATATATATAGTGGAGGACTTCAAAATATAAGAAAGATGAAATTAAATTATGAGTTTATTCTAAGGTAAAAATCTTAGAAATCCATGCATACTTTTTTTTTTTTGGAGAGGTTTTTGCTATAGGGCGCGTGCGCTCGCCAGAAAGACAGAGACGGAGAGACAGAAAGCAAGAAATCACCCCCCCAGGGGGGGATGGTCATGCTGCAATCCCTTCTCCTCCATTCTCCTGTTGGGATCTTGGGCACGCACACACACGCGCCCGGCGTGAGTTTTAAGCCACCGGGTCCGGGACACGAACCGCGGTCGACTACATGGGAGTCCAGCGACATAGTCATTAGGCTAACTGCTGGTCCCAAGACATTTTTGCTATAGGGTGCATGCACTCAGCAGACAGAAAGCAAGAAATCACCCCCCAGGGGGGATGACCATGCCGCAGTCCCTTCTCCTGCATTCTCCTCTCGGGATCTTGGGCACGCACATGTATGCACCCGGCGTGAGTTTGAAGCTGCTGGTCCGGGACTTGAACAGCAGGTGACTACGTGGGAGTTTATCAACGTAACCTTTACACCATCTTCTGGTCCTTGTGTGTATTTTTTTCATAATACAGTTTACATTAATTATTAAAGGCCCCTTGTATAAATAATAATCTTAACCTTTTTTTGAGAGTTTTTTTTTTTTTGCTATAGGGCACGTATGCTTGCCAGAAAGACAGAGAGAGACAGAAAGCAAGAAATCACCCCCCAGAGAGCCAGAGAGGATGGCCACACAGCAATCCCTTCTCCTCCATTCTCCTCTCAGGATCTTGGGCATGTATACACATGTGCCCAGCATGAGGTTAAGCCACCAGGTTCAGGACTCGTACTGTGGTCGACTACATGGAAGTTCAGTGACTTAGTCATTATGCCAACTGCTTGTCTCAATAATTTTAACTTTTTCTTCAAATTTTTTTTCCTTGATAATTTTTGAATCTTGATTTTTTTCTAGAGGTTGATATTTAAAAAAGTACAATAAGTCTACTTTGTTTCTTTGATTTTTCTAATTATTTGACTGTTCTAATAATGGAGTTTTAAATATATAGGAACTGTAATGCATTGTCTCCTCAATGCATCTTGGAAATACCTTAAAAGAAGCTACATAAAGACTTTCCCAAATTAGTGCAGTTGGGCTTTTTTCTTTTAATGGGATTACCTTACTGGTTTCTAATGAATGATCACCCAGCACTGGGAAACTGGGTGATCTACTCCATGAGTTTGCTCTATCTTTGTTGGCTACTCTACTGTAGCTTACAGTACGGGCAGTGTATTTTCCCCGTCTTTCTGTTTCATGACATGGGGGCATGAGGGAAAGAAGCCTCAGCAGCAGAAGCCTCACATGGAAGGAAGCTGCTCAGCGAAGGTAACGATGACCTCTTGAGGATCTCTGTCTCCTGTGTCCTTAGGAGCAGCATCACCAAGCTGTCCGCTGTTAGATGACACTGCTTCCACATTTACTTCCTGTCAGTACCCTGAGAACCAGGCAGGGATGGGAAATATGGCTCTTTCACAAACAATAAGTCCCTTCTTCAAGAGGCAGGAGACAAGCTTAGCCTTGTTTCTGTGACCTCAGGCTCCTCCCAACCAGGCAAGTTGCTTAAACCCAACAGATATCTTGTTACTCCCAATGAGATTATAATTAAATTAGTTTTAATGCTAAAGTAAAACGCAACAGCTGAGTTAAACCCATATGTCAATATTCCTTAAAATTTGTAGAACGATAGAACAAAACAAATCTACAAAACAAATCTAGAGTCCAAGGACATGGAAGGAAATCTGAGCATTGCTTTCAGTGACATCAGGGGAACTTCAACAAGATGTGACTTCCCTGACCACATGCCTCAGTTTCCAAAATAGAAGGTACATTGCTCCTAACTCTACAACTCAGATACTTTGTCACACAGTATCTGTGTGAAAAACTGATGCGTGATGAATTTATCTGTGTGATGAATTGGTCTTACTTCAGAGCCCATTGAACAAAGAAATGATTGAAAAAAATAGAAACAAAAAAAATCTGAAGTGAAACAGAACAGAATCAAATAGAATATGGAAAGTTTGCTATTTGCCAACAAAATGTACACTGAATGTTGAAAAACATGTTTACTCAGAGACAAAAGAAGCCAATCACTAGGAGTAACAAACTTGAGCATTGAAAAAGTTTAGTAAGGAGCCTGAACAGTCAAGAAGTGAACAAAGAGCCACTGTTAGGATATCCGCACCTTCATGAGAATTAGTACAAGGTCCCCCAACCCCTAAGGACCTTGGAATGGAACAGGCTAGAAATCAGACCCTGTCTGTCCTCTCGGCTAGGTTTCCTGGCAGTGAACAACCTGTCCAATCACACTTGGAGTTCTTGAGTTGAAAGCACTCACATCCAAATATGTTCATTTTAGCAGTCATGTCATATGATGGTACCTTCTTTCATCTCTTCCCCCAACCTTTCTTCTTGCTTTCCTTTTATCTTTGAACAGGGTAGTGGGAAGGATATATATCTGTCACTTTCTTGGACATAATACAAATTGAAAACAAAGAGAATTTCAAGTGGAAGATGCTGTGGCAGGGCAACTAACTGCTTGGTCTCCCACCACTGCCACATGGCCATGGTGGTATAAAGAATGGAGACGAAAGGAATGCTCTCTAGCAGCTCTTTGATGATATTCTCCTTTATATTGACATTTGAGGCTGAAACTATATTTAAGAGATATTTAAAGTATATATTATTACATAATAACATAGTATGCATTATTGTACAAATAATGATCATCACATATTACGTGTGTTATGTAAGGAGATGTTACAGCGATTTAGTATTCTTTCAAAAAAAATTTCTTCTTACCTAGTGATTTTGGTAGCAGATTCTTCACAAATTCTGCATGATCCCCCACATGCAGTATGCTATAGACGCTGGTATTCATTAATTCCTCCTGATTGTAACCCAAGTAGCTGGTCACATTCTCTGACACAAAAACAATTCTCCCTTCACAGTTCACAACAAAGAAAAATCCATCCAATGCCTAAAAAGACAAAAAAGAAAAAAAGAAAAGAATGAAGAGGTTGGGAGGTTAAAAGATAAAAGAAAAGGAAATATACATTTATCTATTAAAAAACAGATCAAAGGAGGGCCAGCAGGTGGTGTGGTGGTTAAGGCGCTGGACATTCCCACATGACCAACCATGGTTCGAGTCCTGGACCTGGTGGCTTGCTTTCTCACTTTCTCTCTCTCTCTCTCTCTCTGTCTGTCTTGCTCTGGTCAAATTAAAAAAAAAAAAAACAAAAAAAACCAAATGAATGAATGAATAAATAAAATTAAATAAATAATTTAAAAAAGAAAAAAAGCAGATCAAAGGGGCCAGCAGATGGCATAGTGGTTATGTCGTGGACTCTGACATGGCTGACCACAGTTCAAGTCTTGGACCCAAAGGCTTCAAACTCATGCCAGATACATGTATGTGCATGTCGAAAATCCTGAGAGGAGAGTGGAGAAAGGATCATGGCATGGCCATCCCCCTGTGGGGGATGACTTCTCACTTTCTGTCTGTCTGTCCAGCAACTGCACATATCCTATAGAAAAAAAATCTCTCTAAAAACACACAAAAAACCGAACAAACAAAAATAGAACAGAATTGTAGGTTAAGCTGAAAAAGAGGAGGGGGGATTGCCAACTAGAAGATTTAATATTGCATGTTCTCTGTGGAAGGGATGTTTTTAAATGGACTGCACGTCCATATTTCAAGTAGGCATGAATGAAATGTCAACCTTCTAGCTTAGCAATAAATTTTATGGTAGCAGATGTGAAGCTATCAGTTATTCCATTCATTCAGCTATTAAAAAAAAAATCTCTAAATGGTGTAGGTTAAGACCTGGTTTCTAGGGGACCAGCAGTTAGCGTAATGGCTATGTCGCTGGACTCCCATGTAGTCGACTGCAGTTCGGATCCCGGACCCGGCGGCTTAAAACTCAAAACAGGCGCGTGTGCGCATGTGCCCAAGATCCCGAGAGGAGAATGGAGGAGAAGGGATTGCGGGGTGGCCATCCCCTCTGGGGGATGATTTCTCGCTTTCTCTCTCTCTCTCTCTGTCTGGCGAGTGCATGCACCCTGTAGCAAAAAACCTCTTAAAAAAAATAAAAAAGACCTGGTTTCTAAGCCTCAAGGAACTTATAGAAAGAGAGAGATAAACGTAATAAAATAACAGAGATAAATGTAGTTATCAGAGACACACAAAATATTCTGAGGACAGAAGGATGCCTAATATGGGGTAGGGGTGAGGGACAAAGAAAAGCTTCCTGCAGACTCCTTCCTGCCTTCTAAAAGGCATAGTGGAGGAAAGGAAGAGGACAGAAGGAAGAACATTCTAGACAGAAAGAAGAGCAAGACACAAAGGGAAATGAGGAGCCAGCTCCATGGTGCAGCGGTAAAATGAGGCTCAAGAGAAGCTGGATCCTACATCGCGATTGCAGTTTGAATCCTCAGCTTGGTCACCTGAAACACCCGTGGTGCACACGCACACACACGCACACACACACACACACATGCATGCGCCTAAGCTTCTATAGCTGAGGGGAAGGGGAGCATAGTATGATCGCACTGTGTGGAGAGTGCTCTTCTCCCTCCTTCCCTCTTCCTCTCTGTCACATGTACACTCTCTATCACGAATAAAGGGAAAAAAATGATTTAAAAAAAAGAAAGAAAAAAGAGACGAAGAGGCCCTCTGTAGTGACTGGAGCACATGGTATACAGCAGGCTTGTGGCAAGAGATGACTTGGCAGAAGCCAATAGCAGCAAATCACACGGGCTCCTATGCACTGAGATGGAGCCTGGGGTCTCCAAAAGGAAGTATGTGTGTCCCAAGGGGAGCATAATTTCCACAAGGGTGCAGGAAAAAAGTTACAACCTCTACTTATGTTGTAATCTACATAAAAAAGAAATTAAGCTTCATAAACATAGCAAAACCTGGTGCGTCACTTATTTTAATCTTTCTGTTTATTTGCAACACAGAGCAGCTTTCTTACTACAGAATGTATGCAAGCACTAAATATAAGACCTTTAAAAAAACAGAACAGGGACCAGCAGTTAGCGTAATGGCTATGTCACTGGACTCCCATGTAGTCAACCACGGTTCAAGTCCTGGACCCAGTGGCTTAAACTCACACCGAGCGTGTGTGCATGCGTGCCCAACATCCCAAGAGGAGAATGGAGGAGAAGAGATTGTGGCATGGCCATCCCCCCGGGGCGTGATTTCTCACTTTCTATCTCTCTGTCTCTCTCTGTCTTTCTGGCAAGAGCACGCGCCCTACAGTGAAAACCTCCCCCCCCCCAAAAAAAAAGAAAACAAAACAAAAACACCCAGAACATTAGGGCTAGGGGGTAGCATGGTGGTTAAGGTGCTGGACTCCTACATGGCTAACCATAGCTTGAGTCCTGGACCTGGCAGCTTGAAAATCACACCAGGTATGTGTGTGTGTGTGCCCAAAATCCCAAGAGGAGAATGGAAGAGAAGAGATTGTGGTGTGGCCACTCCTCCTGAGGGATGATCTCTCTTTTCCTCCCTCTGTCTCTCTCCAGCAAGCACATGTGCCCTATGGCAAAATCCTAAAACCATAACAGAAACAAAACAGCATATATTACATTGGAACAAGACGTAAAATGACCATAAAAATCTTTTGTATATCACAAAGGGGTCTCTCAATTATCCATAGCAAGTACTTAAAAGAACTAACAGGGCCAGTGGATGGTGGTTACGTTGTTGGACTCCCACATGGCCAACTATAGTTTGAGTCCAGAACCCAGTGTGGCTTGAAACCCACACTGCGTACATGTGTATCTAAGATCTCAGGAGGAGAATGGAGGGAAGGGATTGTGGTGTGTCCATCCCCTCTGGGGATGATTTTTCTGTCTCTGTCCTCCCCACTTTCCAAAATGCACGTACCCTAAGGCAAAAGCCCCTTAAAAAAACACAAAAAAACAAAAAGAGCTATCTAACAATGTTGGTGGGATACTATCTTTGATTTTTAAAAAAGGCCAGCATTGAGATCAGCAGTTGGCATAATGGCTATGTCACTGGACTCCCATATAGTCAACTACAGTTTGAGTCCCGGACCTGATGGCTTAAACTCACGCCAGGTGTGTGTGTGTGATCAAGATCCCAAGAGGATAATGGAGGAGAAGGGAATATGGCGTGGCCATCCCCTGGGGGTGATTTCTCTCTCTCTGTCTCTCTGTCTTTCTGGTGAGCTTATGCGCCCTACTGCAAAAACCTCTCTTAAATAAATAAATAAATAAAGGCCAGTGTCCCAAATTTGCTGGCCTTTTCTATGATGACAAATAGATATTTTTCAAAAATGAACACAATTATTTTCCTTTTGTGTTAAGATGAATTTTTAACATCAAATAAAGAGTAAACTGCTTTTCAAAAAGACACTTATGCCAGCGAGACAGCATGTGAAAATGAATGTTTGAAAATGTTGCCATGGTTATGATTTTGTTGTTAAAAATGATGGTCATCATTTGTAAAATTTATCTTATCTTTTCAGTTTAAAAACAGAATGTTTTTCCTATTAAAAAATATTCCAGAGTTTCAATATATTTTGAACCTACTTTTTTTTTCTGAGTGATTCTGTATGGAATAATCACTCTTTGAGAACAAGGAAGATAGAATGTCAATAAAAATCTCTACATAATTGGTGGACACGATTTAAAAATGAATACAATTCAGTAGCTGCATCCAATGATATACTTATCCATTTGCTTGTACTTAATTTTTGTGAGGTGTCTTTTAGCTAAGATTATTACTTAACTGACAAAAATGTACATATTCATAGTGTACATGCTGTTTTTGAAATATGTGTATGCTGTGGGTTGGCTATCTAGTTAACTAATATATGAATGACCTCACACATACTTTTTTTTTTTTCACTATAGGGCGCGTGCGCTCGCCAGACAGACAGAGAGAAACATACAGACAGAAAGCAAGAAATCACCCCCCAGGGGGGATGGTCACGCCACAATCCCTTCTCCTCCATTCTCCTCTCGGGATCTTGGGCACGCACACACATGCGCTTGGTGTGAGTTTTAAGCCACTGGGTCCGGGACGCGAACCACAGTCATCTACATGGGAGTCCAGCGACATAGCCATTACCCCAACTGCTGGTTCCCGCATATACTTTTATACTAAAGACACTTAGTCTACTATGTTAGAAATTTGTAAGTATACAATGATTATTAACTATGGTCATCAAGATGTACACTAGAGGTCTTGAACTTACTCCTCCTCTCTGAGATTTTCATCCTTTGACCAACACCTTCCTAATCCCACTCCCAACTTCCAGCACCTGCTAACCACACTCTACTTGCTCCAAACTCAACATTCTTTTTTTTTTTTTAAGAATTCTTTATTTAATTTATTATTATTATTATTATTATTTTAATTGACCACAGAGAGACAGACAGAGAGAGAAAGTAAGAAAGCAAGTTGCCAGGTCTGGGATTTAAACCATGGTCAGCCATGTGGTAGTCCAGTGCCTTAACCACCACACCACCTGCAGACCCTAGAGCTCAACATTCTTAGATTCCACATATAAGTGAGACCAGTTGATATTTGTCTATGTGTGCCTGGCTTATTTAACTTAGCATAACGTCCCCCAGTTTCATCCATGTTATTCTGAATGACAGAATTTTCTTTTTAAAAAAGGCTAAACACATACACCTATTTTCTTTACCCATTCATTTTTGGACAATTAGGTTGAAACGTAAATCGAAACCACAATGAGTTATCACCTCAGATTTGTTTCAATGGCTATAATCAAAAAGAGAAAAGGTAGGAATAGGTCAGAGCGTGGAGAAATGTGAACCCTGGTGCACTGCTGGGTGGGATGAGTATTAGCATAGTCATTATTGAAAACAGTAGGGACATTCCTCAAAAATGAAAAATACAACTATTGCACAGTCCAACAAGCCCACTTCTGGGTATATAGCTAAAGAAAATGAATCAATATATTAGAGATACCTGCACTCTTC